TATGCCCACATATTAGAAAGAATTTGAATGCTCATGAGAAGACATAATTTACAAGATCCTTTGCAAGACCAATTCTTTCCAAAATGTGCCAGTCAGAGCTTTAAGATTTAAGCTATAATATAATAATATTTGCCTAATAATAATGCAGGAAAGACAGACAATCCTAAAAACACTTGCATTATCAGTGAAATTTTGGAGTAAATTAATTTATAAGCAGCTCTAGAACATGGACAGTTGATACTTTTTACGAAAGAGGATTTACTCAATGTTAGAACAATATTGAATTCTGTGGCTTGAAAGAGGTGGCTTAGAGTAGAAGGGGTCAAGCTAAATAAAGATTACATGTGGGAGAGAGACAATATATTTCATAACTTTGTTTTCAAATTTTTTTTAGAAGATGGCTAAGGTTTTGCTTTAGTACAATAAACCGGATTTATTCTTTTCTTTGATCTGTTCAAGGATAGTCTTTAGGAGGAGACAGGACATGACCATGCTTTGCATACATTACATGCAGACCACCTGGGCTTCTTGCTTTCCTGGATGGGTCTCCCTCATGGAAAGCTACCAGTTCGGAGTCCCCATGTTGACATGCTTCTTTGCCTAGGAGCAGGGTGGAATTTTATCCCTTGTGACAGGGAGTCACTCAACTTGGCCACGAACAGTCTTTCAAGACATTGTCTGAGTAGTCTTGGCTTTTCCCAGGATGTCATCTGACGTTGACACCATAGAAAGACTCCATGCTTCTGGCCATACATTGTATTCAGATGCACCCCATGTGTTTGATGGCTTCAAGACCCTCAACATTGTCCAACAAGCCCCCAGCCCCCCCATCCCCTGACTCTCATACTTATGCATCTCTCCATCCAGGCAAAATTTATTTTCCATCCTGGCTGCAGCTTATTAATAATTTCTGCTTCCAGGTTTCAGGGGTTGAGTCATCTCGGTCCAGGAGTCATCTTATCTAATTGTAGGCTTTCACATGTGAATTAGTCACCATAGGTTCCCCTTATGGAGACAACTATGCATCTGGGGGCTTTGATTCATCTGGTCTAATTTAAACACCCACATCAAGGCGAGATTCATTTTTCTGGAAAAAATGCTTGGTTTTCTCTCCTTGCTGCTTGGCAGTGAAGGGTTATGGGCTGACACGGCTACATGGCAAATGTGAAATTTGTACAGAGCAGTCACACTTACTGTGGTTTAGGCCCAGTGCATAACTGAGCACCACAATGCCCCAGAAAGGGCCAGTCAAAATAAGGACTGGGAGGGCTTCTCACCACTTAAAAAGGTCACAGGCAAAAGACAGACTCATCATAAGGAATAAAAACAAAACAATTTTAATTTGTTACCAACATCAGAGTAGAACAATGGAAGATACAACCAGATCTTAAAATCAAAACACCTTTCCCCCACCCCTCCCTTCTTCCCGGGCTCAGCTTTTGTTCCCGGTTTCTTCACCTTCCCCCTCCCCCTTTGCCTTGAGGCGCAGGAGGATGGGAGTGGGGGTTGCAGTCGGTTTTCACACCATGTGCTCCTCAGGAGTAGGAAAACTCAGCCCAGTGTCTCTCTCTGCTTCACGTGGCCCCTTCCTTTCCATAGGGGAGAAAGTCCTCAGAAGTCCAATATGGGTCTGCCCACAGCTGCAGTTTCCCTCACACATGAGCTGCTCCAGCACACACTGCCCGGAGACACAGCTTCTTCAGGGGCAGGCCCTGCTCT